TAGATGAAATTAAATATATATATATATATATATATATATATATATATATATATCCTTATAGTGTAGTCGAAAGAGTCTTTTAATGTAAAAAAAGTCTCTTTCGACTACAATTTTAATTACCTCGTCTCTTAAGCTGTATTTGATTGTTGTCGAAATGTCAAAGCAATTAAATTAATGCGGAAGTACATTAAATTTTATTGTTTTTTAAAAATTTTTTAAAAAACCGCAATAATAACGACTAGAAAGTTTTTTTTAAATAGTAGTGTTTTTGTTTTTGTTTTCTTAAAAAACATTTTTAAAACATGCGTAAACATGGACTATCTTATAGCCTGACTCGCAACAGAGTGCTGCTATATTGACTGACAAATAGCCTGACTCGCAAAGGGAGTGCTGCTACATCGACTGACAAATAGCCTGACTAGCAAGGGAGTGCTGCTACAACGACTGACAAATAGCCTGACTCGCAAGGGAGTGCTGCTACATCGTCTTAGGGTTTGGTTTGGGCAAGCAGTCTATCATTTAAAAAAAAAAAAATTTAAGTTTTTAAACTTTTTCTGGTCTGGTTTATTAACGCGCTCTTTAAAACTACAATTTATGGGAAACTCTTTTTAACTACCATGCAAGAGTATATATATATATATATATATATATATATATATATATATATATATATATATATATATATATATATATATATATATATATATATATATATATATATATATATATATATATATATATATATACATACAGTGAGAAAAAAAAGTTATCCCTCCATTCAGTAATTGAATTTACTTTATGAAATATTTCTTTTCTATAAAAAAATAAAAAATTGAAATAAATACCAATAGATAGAGCACTATAATACTATTTTTGCAAAATATAATTAAAAAAATCAGAAAAAATAAAAATAAACAAAAGTTAAGCAAAAAATTATCCGTCCAATTTTTTCAAAATTGAATTAGGGTAATTTTATTCAATTAACCAGCGAATATTCAGATGACTTCTGTTCGAAAGTTCTAACCCTTCATCAAGATGGGAAATGTCAACAAGGAATTGCAGGAATGTTGAAAATGCCAAGAACATTGGTGTAATACATTATTATTAAGTTCAAAAGCACCAGAAGAATAAGTAATATAGAAAGGCAAGGAAGAAAAATAAAATGTACGAAAGAACCGACCTGAAAATGGCAAGACGCGTCAAAAAAAAAGAGAAAATTATCGGTAGTAAAAGTCTCAAATGACCTGAAAGAAGATAAAGGAGTCGAAATCACTCCACAAACTGTTCGAAATCGCCCCCATGAATCAAATTTACATGGACAAACACATCAGCTAAGCCCTTTATCAGCAACAAAAATAGAAAGTTGTGTCTAAAATGGTCTAAAAAGTACGTGGGTTGCCCACAAAATTTTTGGAATAATGTCCTATGGTCAGACAAAAGTAAATTTAACATGTGTGGGTGCGATAGAGTAGGGAAAGTGTGGAGAACGTCTAAAGAAGAACTTAGTATAATCTGTTTGAAACAAACTGTCAAACTCAATGGTGGCAACGTGATGATGTGGGGGTACATAAATGCTGCGGAGGTGGAAACTTTACAATTTATCGATGAAAGAATGGACCAGTATGTATATAAGACCATTCTCAGTGATAATATAGGGCCATCATGCGATAAATTGGGCTTAGGAGGCGATGTCTTGTTCCAACAAGACAATGATCCCAAGCATACAGCACGTTCCATTACCGCATTTTCGGCCGAAAGTGGCATAAATAAGTTAGAATGGGTTGCTTAATTTCCGTATTTAAACCCAATTGAACATTTATGGGCTATTTTAGAAAGAAAAATTAACAATAGGAACCCATCGAACAAAAATGAATTGAAAGGTATAATACGGGAGTCATGGGAGGGAGTTAACAGAAAAATTAATTCTATGCATAGATTTAATTGATTTAACAGAAAAATTAATTCTATGCATAGGCGTTGCATAGCTGTCATTAAAGCAAACGGAGGACCTACAAAATACTAATTTAAATAAAATCTATTTTTAAAACAAATTTTTCTGTTCTGGGCGGATAATTTATATGCATTGATCTTTGTATGTTTCAATAAAATGTTGGATAATTAATATAATACCTATTTTTTGTTATTTTTTATTATATATATATATTTTTTATTTATTTTAAATTATTCAATTTTTTGTTTTTTCGTTTTATTTTAAATATTTATATATATATATACATACATATATATATATATATATATATATATATATATATATATATATATATATATATATATATATATATATATATATATATATATATATATATATATATATATATATATATATATATATATATATATATATATATATATATATATATATATATATATATATATGGGCAATTCGATTTTTAACTTACGTTACACGCGCAACAACTTTAATCAAATATTTGCTTATTTAAACTTTAAATTAAACTTTCAGCTACTTTGTATGAAAGCT